CAAGACTACCAACTAGTTCCTGAATAGCTATACTTATTCTTACTGGTGTTATTTTCTTGCCTGGAATTCCATTTGCCCTTTGCCCCTTTCTGTTGACATCTTATACCCATTCTTCAAACAGTAACTTACAAACCACCTTTTCCATATGACTTTTTGTGGTCACTGTAATTGACAGTCATTACTTTGTACTTGGTTCCATTCCTGATTAATCACTGGATAGTACCTTGGGGTAAGTTATTTGTGTATGTGTCTTATTGCCTTAATAATTATATTTTTTAGCTCTCAAAAACCCAAGCCAAAAACTTGTACATGACTAGCACCCTGTAAACACTGATAAATGTTCATTGAGCTAATATAAAGAATCACCGATAATTAAATCATTGAACTTCATTCTAACTGGTGAAAATTTCTTAGAGGTCCTAAACTATAGTGTTTTTACAAAGTTTCCACTGAAGAAGCATTAATGAATAGCATTCATCTTTTTTGCATCTCTTTCTAACATTAATGGTATTAATGTTATTATTATTGTCCAGCCCTTGCTGTAAACTCAGTGTCAGAGATCTGATGATTTGCCTGACGTCAACAGTGCACACTGTTAAAACAAGTGTATCTTAGATACCAGATGGTGTATAATTCCTGGAGTTTGGAGGATTAGGATTGAGATTGGAATGGGAACTCATCACTTTGTCTCCAGTGCTGTGCTGATTTTTTTTAATCAAAAGACCTCTTTCTGTCTTTAAGTAAATAGATACCTCCATTTGGATTTTGTATCCAGAATGAAAATAGTATCATTTACATAGACAGAACCTGTTTGTGGAGCATTTATTGGGACTTTGCTGTTTAACCTCTTTGTACTTTTTCCTTTCCATTCTATCATTTGTAATATGAAGAACTTGGCTGCACCTATGACAGATTTGTCAGGGTGAGTCTATTTGTGAGTTTAGAAATGGGCCATAGGATTTTTTATTTTTGCTGTTTATTTTTTACTTGTTTAATTCTGATCAGCTTCAGAGGTAATTAGAGATATTGCCTGGTTTATCAACTTTATTTTATACTTTTTCCCACCTCTTTCCACTACCTCTCCTTTGCTTTTGTGTCACTTACTAATAGCTACCAGTGCTGTGAAGAACATGCATGAAAACTGCCCAAAGTTACTCATTTTAATCTACTTTTCCTTCAGAGACTGCATTCTAGCATTGCTGCTAAATGATATGTTGTCTGATTTTCTGCATTTAGTACATATTATGTGAATTTATTTGGTTTTGGTGGGATTCTTTTGACGTGTTATGTGTATGCTCCTTATGTGTGTTCTCATCTGTCCTTATGTTCAGCCTGTTTCTTTACATATGTCCAATTATGTAGCAAAATATCCAAAATGTGGCACCGGTAGGTATTATTCCCTAATTATTTATTCATTTTTTTATCATTTCTTCCTAAATGTGACAAAGCAATCCTGTCAGTGACTCTTGGCAAACGTCACAGCTACATGGGCAACCTGGAATTGCCTCAGCTCTGTGTTAAACATTTCAGTTAATTTTTGAGTGCTAAAAAGAATTCAAAAATACTAAAAGCTTCAGCTTCCACATTTAATATTAAGTTATATTCTTTGCTTCATTCTCTTTAATTCAGCTAACATTTGTTGAGCATTTATTATGTCACGCATTTCTCACTGCTCATAGTCCAACTTTTAAAAGGTAGTTTCTTACCTTTTTTTTTTTTTTTTAAAGATTCATTTATTTATTCATTCAGAACTGGTATACAGGTCATAGGTTCAGGGGCAGTGAGAGAATTCACCAGAGACTGAGTGGGGAAATGAACAGGTAGATCAATGAAGTACACTGCTGAGTGAGACAGGTAGAGGTTTGCCTCTCCATGTCTTGGGTCACCTCTGGGGCGGGGAGAACATACTGAAATGGATGCTGATGCAGCTAGCTTGGTAGTGTTGGGCTTTAACCCCATGCGTTACCAGGGAGGGCCCTGTTTAAGTATTTTGTGTGATTTTCTCAACAGTGATTTTTTTTTTTTATGCATAGCTACTTAAACTGCTGTGACTGTGCCAGCAACATTAGTCAATCTGTGATCTTGTTAGAAATGCGGAATCTTAGGCCATTCCAGAACTGCTGGATCAGAATTGGTGTTTTAATAAGCTTGTTAGATGATTTGATGCAAGTTAAACTTCAGTAAGTCTGTGTTTTTTTTTTTTTTTTGTTTGTTTTTTAAAGATTTATTTATTTATTCATACAGAACTGGGGTACAGGCCAGAGGCTCAGGGGCGGTGAGAGGCTTCACCAGAGACAGAGTGGGGAACAGAACAGGCAGATGGACGAAGTACACTGCTGAGGGGAGCAGCGGGCTGGCCAGGAGAGGTCTGGCTCGCCATGTGGTCTCCTCCGGGGCAGGCGGCAGGCGGGAATCGAACTCATGCGGAAGTGGCTTCAGATTCTCAGTGCTGTGCTTTAACCCGCTGCGCCACCAGGGAGGGCCTGTGTTGTTTTTTTTTTTAACCATTGAATATTTATTTGCATTCAGCTACTTTACTGGAGATAAGAAACCTTTTCATGAGAAAGTGACTGTAGGAATATCCTTAGAAGGTCTCAGAGGCTTTAAGACTTTCTAAATAAGTACAAACACAAGAATATTTACTTACTAAAAGATACATATAATTCTGCTCAAAGTAAGATTTAAGTAATTTTCATGTCTGCAAAAACTTACAAAATGTTTGTTTTTTAAATCTTTTTGTGAGACCTTATTGTGAGGTCTGTTTTTTGGGAAAATATTAAGAGAGTGGTTTTTATTTCTTTATAGTGATACCCGAAATACATGGGAGATAGTGTTAAATCCTCAACATGTCCTTTATTTTTACAAAGGAAGCATAAAGTAAACTTGTGCTCTCAGATCATTGTCTTTTAGGATAATTAGTGGTTTGATACCTAGATTTTTTTTTCTGGATCAAGTTTGATTACTTAAAAAGAAATTTGGAAAAAATTAGTTACTATTGCTAATGTACAGAGCAGTTGCAGACTTTTATTTTCTTTGCATAAGTACGGTGTGCCTCCTTCAGGGGCAACAAATAAGAATGTATATTTGTCAGTAAACATTTTAAGCAGTGTTTAGAAAGACTGAATTGCCTATTTTACTAGCAAGGGTAATTTTGATGACTTAGTAATTGAGACCAGAATATGTCCTTCTATAAATATTTTTGTTTGAAATGTTATTAATGCTTCAACTAAAATGAGTAGTTTGGCAGTAAGCCCATATGAAGCCTTTTCCTTTCATTCACATACCTTTATTTATTTCAGTACCACTTACAGTGATTTGCAACTACAAGTACTGTTACCTTACACAAGTTACTCCCGAGTTTCACCTTCTTCCTGAGTTTCACCTTTCCTCTTCCTTTGCAAAAATTGAGATAGTGTAGATAACCCCCTTGACATGGGACCTTGTCACAGAAACAGTATCAAGACACATCAGCTTCCTTCCTTTTTCACTGCTTTCTTTCTTTTATATACAGTCCTTTTGATTTGGCTCATATTGTAAATAAGATCTCTTGACTTTTTCTTTCATTATATAGGTTAAAGAATATAAACTCCCAGGACAGCATAAACCTTTGTTAGTTTTATATCCCTAGTACCCACTAATGAGTTTGACAAGTGTTTAATGAATGTCATGCATTTCAAGTAAACTACTTGAATAAATTCAGAAAAGGCCTTTGCAATTTATTAGGTATATTCAGTTAACTTTAACTCACACACACTTACATTTTAGCTGGGAGTGGAAGGAGGGAAAAAGAGAGGAGGGCAGTAAGACTCTTCTTAACAAATAACAGGTAATAGGTAGCAGTGAGTGTTGTAGTGTGCTGTAAGGCCATCTGGAGTAGTAAGGGCCATTGCTTTTTAGATAGGATGATGTGAGCCTCTCTGAGGAGGCATTGTCTAAGCTGGGACAGTAATGGTGAAAGGGGTAAAACCTATAAATAGTCAAGAGAAGAAAATTATCAGAGAGAGAACAGCATGTATCAAAGGCCTGAGGAGGGAATGAGCTAAATATAATTTGTTAATTCAGATTGTTAATATCCAAATAAAATTATTTCATCTAAATATTATGGAACAGGGCCCTCCCTGGTGGCACAACTGGTAAAAGCACAGCACTGTAAAGCAATCTGCAGCCAAAACAGTGTAGGAGAGTTCCTTTTTCACCACATCTCCACCAACATTTGTTGTTGCTAGTTGTTTTAAAGTGTGCCGTTCTCACTGGTGTGAGATGGTATCTTATTGTGGTTTTAATTTGCATCTCTCTTATTACAAGTGATAGTGAACATTTGGGAAAAAATTCTTAAAAAATTTAAAATGGGCTATTTCTGAAAGAGGCTATAATTTAGTATTGAAACATAAACACCTAAATGGTTTTTTTTTTATTTTTACCACATGCTGTCATTGCTGTTGTCATGTCTGATAACAGTCAGAAGTCTGTACCTGCTGTCCTTAATTGCAAAGCTCATGATTCAAAGAAATAAAAAGAAAAAGAACATTAAAGAGTTAGATAACCTTTTTATTTCATCATCTCTTAGGATCCACAAAATTGTGGAATATTAGTCCTACAAACCTGTGCCTTCGTATTGATACCTACAAAGGACAGTATACAAATACATCCTTTGTTAGGGAGGATACAACTATTTGCTGTACAGTTTTGAACATTAAATTGAAAGCATGATGTATTTTACTACAGTGGCCTTATTGGGTACACTTAAGCTATTTTCTCTATGTGATCATATTTAGTGAACCAAGGCACCAATAATTAACTCAGGATGCATAGATATGGTGTTTTTGTATTTTATGGAAAATGTCATGTTTGATGCACTTGAGTGCTGTCTGTTGGTGATTAAATACCTCAATATACTAATTTGGGCACACTTGACCTGATTTAGGATTTTGCCTACCATATGTGTTTGTCTTATAAGAGCCCCCCTTTTTATCTTTTTAATAGCAACATCATGACAACAGAGAAAAGCTTAGTGGCTGAGTCCGAAAATTCACCACACCAACAACAGAAGGAAGAGTGTGAGGGAGCCACAAACAGAGGCCAACAAGAAACTCAGCTGGAAGAGGCTTCTCAAGTGGCAGCTGAGGGAGATAATCATTGCGAGCAGAAGCTAAAGGCATCTAATGGAGACACTCCCTCACATGAAGACTTGATCAAAAACAGGGAGCGGGCATCAGAAAACAGGGGCTTGTCACGGCTGTTTTCCTCATTTCTCAAAAGGCCTAAATCGCAAGTGTCTGAGGAAGAAGGCAAAGAAGTAGAGTCAGCTAAAGAGAAATGTGAAGGAGATCAGAAAGAGATTGAATTTGGAAACAGTATTGATGAAGAGATTATTTTAAAGGCCCCAATTGCAGCCCCTGAACCTGAGCTCAAGACAGACCCATCCTTAGACCTCCATTCGCTAAGCAGTGCAGAGACACAGGTGAGGATGTGCGGGTGTGAGGGCGGTGGGCTGGAGGGAGGTTCTATGCATTGTGACTTTCCAGCAGTTTCTTATGAGCCACTTGATTCAGGTATGGGTAGTTTGTGAGTAACATGACACTGAGTTTCTGCTTCAAAGATATGAATGTAGTCATGGAATCTTGCTTCCTAAGAGATACTTACACTGTATAAATCAAAGAAAACAGTTTATCAAGTGAGTTTATTCAGTCTGTATGTCATTTGCTCTAGTCATGAAACAACTCCAAGGTTTTTAATGAGGGGGGAAAATAGTGAGGTGGTTTTGAGTTCATTTTGGTGGAATTGTTAGGAATGGGAGATTTGCAGATTTGTTCATCTGTCAAAACAAAATGGGAAAATATTATTATACCTTAGGAGTATTTTCTAGGAATCCCATCTGTTTTCATCCTTGGTATTTACAAATTAAGAATATCTTCTAAGTATTTCTGAAGCATATGAGCATTGTCTGCATTGTTATAAGTTTTATGTATTAGTATTAGGTCTCAGATTTGCATTAATAATTTTATTGGATTAAAAAATATTACAGGTATTTCTAGAAATACATTAAAGATGATAAGAGTAAAATTTAGTATAAGTTGTAATTATGCAGTTGCTATTAGTGAAGCAAAATTGAAAGCAAGATTTACTACATGTTGTAATAGTTAAAAGGGAGGCTCCGGCATCAGACTAGAGGATACAAGTCACAGAACTCACGCTTTTGCTTTATTAGTTTCCTTCTCTGTATAATGAAGAGATTAATATCCACCTCATTTGGGTATTATAAAAATTAAGACATGTAAAGCTCTTAAAACATTGCTAGGTATATATTAAGTACTCAGTAAGTATTAATTGTCATTACTCAGTTAATAAATGAACAGTGAAGGCAAAGAAATCCTATATATCTTAATATCATTAAATTTATTTATTTTAGAAATACCGAAGGAGTTAAATTACATTGTCTTTTAGGAAGAGGTTTTTAACTGTTTTCCCTCCCTTTGCTTAGTGTGGGGAAAAAAAAATCTTTGTCTTATTTTTAGTTTGCATTTTAACCGGTGCTTATTGAATTTGAAGATCATAGCATTTATACAACAACATGTGACAAAGTTATTTCTAGATTTAGCTAAAATTATATTCACTGAGATTATGAATATAACTGATATAAATTGTATGCAGGTGTTTATCTACATGTGAAGAAAAATAAAAATAAATTACTACTGTTAATAAAATTTCAAGGAAATATTGTTTAAAGGTGTGAACTACTTTAGTCCTTTTGGAAGCTAGTGTTGACAATTAAACACTTGTGGATAAAGGTTTATTTGCTTACACATGTTTCTGCATGTGTAGTAGAATTTTATTTGAATGGCCTTTCCCTATCCTGGATTTTTTATTTTTAATGAATACAAGAACTGGGGTACAGGCTAGAGGTGTGTGGGGAGAGGGTGAGAGGATTCACCAGAGACAGAGTGGGGAGCAGAACAGGCTGACTGACTGATTCAAATACACTGCTGAGGGGAGCAGCAGGTGAGACAGGAAAGGCCTATTGCACAATGTGGGTGGCTTGTTGGCCAGGGTTGAACTCTTGCTACAATGGCTGCCTGAGAGCTACATAGTGCTGTGCTTTTTAACCCTTTGCACCGCCAGGGAGGCCTGAGGACTTTTTTTTTTAAGTGAATTTACATTTACAGGATTGCACCAGTCTTTACCTAGGGTACCTTGGATACGTTGTTAGCAATGTATCAGTTTTTAATATTTATTCTTTCATTCAGCAAATTTTTTTTTGAAACTCTGCTGTTGCCAGGTCCTAAGTTGGCATATATTGATAAGTAAAAACTACAGTGTAGTAAAGATGGTAAGATCTGGAGCTCACTAGTATGTGACTAATTAACTATCATCCTAGACAAATTACTTTAACTTCTCTGGCCTCAGTTTCTTATTTGATAATAAATAGCAGTGTTTTCATGGCTATTATGAGGGTAAAATGAATTAATGTAAATAATACTTGTAGAACAAATAACTGGTCTGGGTCATTGTAATTACTATTTAAATGTTTGTTACTGCTATAAGACAAACATGACACCTGCTGTGAGGACTTTGATGGAGACAAAAGTTAGTAAATATAAAATGTTTATTTATTATGATAAATGTTGTTAAAATGGCAAGCAAGGTACTAACGTGAAGAGTAGAGTAGGGTAGGATAGTTGATGAAGACTTCTCTGAAGAGGTCACACTTAAGACAACCATGAAGGATGGGAAGGTACCCTTTTGGAAAAACATTCCATATCTAATGCAGGAGCCAGATAATTAAATCCTTTTCCCTAAATGCTAGCTATGTATTTTTTTTTTTTTGAGAGAAAAGAATTACAAGGATTAATTGAGAATATTGCCTAATAATTGCCCCAAGAGGGCCCAATTTCAGTCTCTCTCATGCTTCTTTACAATTAACATGATTGGTGCCTGGCCAAAAGTAGTTAACTGGTAGTTATAGACTTCCCCCATTACATACATTGCTTTCTGCCTTAAAATAGGTGCTAAGAATCCCTCTAATCTATTCATAAAATTTAGAATATGTGACAAATCACATCTCATTTTGCAATTCATAGGCTACCTTGCTAAAATTGAGAAGCATGGGGTAGGGATAGTAAAATTTTGATTGATTTTAGTACTATGTAGTGACATACCCAGGAAGAATGTATAATACTGAAGAATGTATAGTACTGAAGGCAATCAGTTGGTGCCAGAAGCTATCATTTACAGATTTGAGAGTAGGGATTCTATCTGAAGATGGGATTCTACTTTCTAGTACAAGATTCTGGAATAGCAATCTGCAGATGTTTTAAGGGATCATAATGTCTTTTCTAAGAAAAATTATTTCACCTTAGTGAAACTTATTTGCTTTAACAGTTTTTTTGCTTCAGGTGGTGTTTTTTATTGGTAACATCATTATAGGTTAAATTATATATATACAGGCCCTCCCTGTATATATAAGAAGCTTAAGCCACTTCTGCATGAGTTCAATTCCCGCCTGCCCCAGAGGAGATCCACATGGCGTGGCAGACCTCTCCTGACCCGCCCACTGCTCCCCTCAGCAGTGTACTTCGTTTATCTGCCTGTTTTGTTCCCCACTCTGTCTGTGGTGAAGCCTCTCACACTCCACATCTCTGGCCTGTACCCCAGTTCTGTATGAATAAATAAATCTTTAAAAAATAAATTATATATATACAGGATGTTTTGTGAAATGTGTTACTAATTTTATGTTGTTGATAAATAGCCTGCCCAGGAAGAACAGAGAGAAGATACAGATTTTGAAACTAAGGAAGGAGGAGGAGTTGAAGATTGCTCGAAAATAGAAGTAAAAGAAGAAGGCCCTGAGTCAAAAGCAGAAAGAGAACTAAAAGCTTCCCAGAGATCAACCAGAAGACACAGAAATATGCACTGCAAGGTTTCTCTGCTGGATGACACAGTTTATGAATGTGTTGTGGAAGTGAGTAGTAGTTGTTTCTGATAGTTGGAACAAGTACTGTATGGAATTCCAGTAGTTGGAACTCTTTCAGATTATTTCATTTGGGTTGGGTAAGTGGTGTCATGGCCTGAAATAAGACTGAGTGTGACTGTTTCTATGGGCTGAGACATTAAGTTCTCTCAGAGGTACTGAGCACTGATTGTGCCACTGGAGCCACACCAGAGTTAAGTGAGCTTGTAGGAATGGAGATGTAAGATGATTAATGGGTCTTATTTTAATCTCCATTTTTTTTCTGAATCTGCCAGAACTTGTGAATTGAGCATGTACTGTTTTTATCATCAAAAACAATTTTGCTTAAAAAAAAAAAGGTTTGTTGTTTGTAGAACAACAACTAGATTTTCCATGTTAGCCTCAATTTCTTTATTTTTCGTTTTTTTTGTTTGTTTTAAGATTTATTTATGCTTACAGAACTGGGGTATAGGCCAGAGGTGTGATGAGGTGAGAGGATTCAGCAGAGACAGAGTGGGGAGCAGAACAGGCAGATCTATTGAAATACACTGCTGAGGGGAGCAGCGGGGGGGACAGGAGAGGTCCGCTGCGCCGTGTGGGTCAGCTCCCTGGCCGGGAATCAAACTAGTGCTCAGTGGCTGCAGTGCTGCAGTAGCTTTGTAGTGCTGCACTTTAACTCTTCGTACCACCAGAGAGGCCTTGCTTAGCCTCAATTTCTGATCTTAGGTTCATCTATTCCCATAATTGTATTTGTTAAGAGAAAATTTACTATCCTTTTCATGTCTGCTTTCACATATATAAACCTTAATGTGTTTTCTTAGCCCATGAGATAGCATATAAAAAATTTAAGTCAAATAATGACATTTCTTAATACAAGCACCCAAATATGGCAATAGTTTGGGTTTCTAGGTTAAAAAGAAATGAAGATTATTGGAGCAACAGGTTAAAGTGCAGCACTAAGCTGTCCTGAGCCACTGCAGCATGAGTTTGATCCCTGGTCAGGGAGGTAGCCCACATGGTACTCACAAAAAGAAAGTGTGATTTTTAGGATAAGTGGGTGAGGGAAGGAGATTCTAGATGGAGGAAAGTTAGAATTTTGATTTGAATTGTAACGCTATTTCCAAGCCACTTAAGTGTATTACATATTTACAAATTAAGACACAGAATTTTGTTTGTCTACATTGTTCTATTTACTTTCTAAAGCCATCTGAAAGTGTTAATAATTAAGGTGAAAGAGAAAACTGGAAAATAGCATTTTATTTAGTTATGAATACAGGAATAAGAAGAACCTCAGCTAAAGTATGTATGTCTTTGCAGAAGCATGCCAAGGGGCAAGATTTACTTAAGCGAGTGTGTGAGCACCTTAATCTTTTGGAAGAAGACTACTTTGGTCTAGCCATTTGGGATAATACAACCTCAAAGGTGAGGAGACTGCTCCTTTTGTGATATAAGTAGCTAAAAAATGTGTTTAAAATCATTTTTCATTGTTAAAAATGTATTTATGTGTGCCTCTCCAAAACACAGTGTACTTAGAGTTTTCCAGTCTTTTCTTGTTTCTCAATATTCCCTCTAGAATTAACATTTTGAAGGAAAGAGATGTTCTTTCATCATAGAGGCAAATTATCAACTCTATATTTATAAAAGACAGGGAAAATAAAGACACAAGACATCCTGATTAGAAAATAGCTACAAATAACTTCTGTATGCAACTTGAATTATATCTCAATGCAGTAGGTTCATAGCAAATATTCTTGTTGGGAAGATGGTCTAACAATATTATAAACTATTCTTATAATTGGGGAGTAATATTATAAAAGAGAATAAAGTTCTGTTATTATTATTAAAACAGTCTACAGCAAATCTGTTTTCTTCTAGCCTAAAAGGAAACCAGTATTTAACTTTTTTTAAAGATTTATTTTTTTATGTTACAAGAACGACGGTACAAGCAAGCATTGTTGGGGGAGAGAGGATTCACCAGGGACAGAGTAAGGAGCAGAACAGGCAGATGAACTGAAATACACTGCTGAGGGGAGCAGCAGGCAAGTCAGGAGAGGTCTGCTGTGCTGTCGGTTACTCTCTGGCTAGGAGATTGAACTCCTACTGCAGTGACTATATAGCTTCATAGTGTTGCGCTTTAACCCTCTGTGCCACCAGTAGTTATGTTTTGAAGGAAATAAAAGAAAGAGCAAGAGCATAGAAGAGAGAAGAAAGGTTAAAAGTCAGGCATTTAATTCAGAACACTTAAATTATATCCTGGGCCAATTAACTGAAAACTACATACATTTAAAAATCTAATAATGAAAACTAGTCTGACATGGCCCCTCCTCATGTAGCTTACAGTTTAGTGTGATGAGTGTTATACAAAAGGAAGTACAAGATGTCCTGGGAAGTTAATGCCACAGAAATCTTCCCTGGGGAGGTGATGCCTAACCCAACATCTCAGCAGAAAGAAATCGGCTTGAATGAAGACTTGGAGCTGAGAAAGTGGCTTTCGAGGAACCAAGAGCCATATAGCTTGGTTAAGCAGTAGGAGTGAAGAATCAAGTGATAGATAAATCTAGACAGCTCCATGGGGGCCAAGTCATGGCTAAAGAGTCTTGTGTCAGCATACTCAAGCCATTGTAGTTGTTTGTTTTAAGATTTATTTATTTATGCATACAGAACTGGGGTACAGGCTAGCAGTGCAGGGGATGAGAGGATTCACCAGAGACAGAGTGGGAAGCAGAACAGGCAGATCCAGTGAAATACACTGCTGAGGGGAACAGCAGGCGAGACAGGAGAGGTCTGCTGCACTATGTGGGTCAGCTCCCTGGCCGGGGATCGAACTCAGTGCTGCAGTGGCTGCGGACAGCTTCATAGTGCTGTGCTTAGCTTCATAGTGCTGTGCTTTAACCCATTGTACCACCGAGGGCCTTGTAGTTGTTTCTTTTTCCTGAATTATTTATGTTTATTAACAATTGCAAACCCTACCTATTGGGTTACTAGAGTTAGACAGTGTAAACCAGAAGACACGGGATTGCCCGCTGCCCAAACAAAACCTCTGTGTGGAATGTACCAGTAGTTGCCTAGTAGTTTGCAGTGGCTTGTTCCTTCTATGAATGAATCTTGACTCAGACAGAAGAAATGTGTCCACCAGCACTAGGTTAATTTGTACTTTCAGATGTAGCTTTATTCTCTGCCCTTAAAGACTCAAACCAGCTTAATCTGAAGCCTCTAGTTTTTATTAGGAAGGGAAGATTGAACATAGTGAAAAGTAAAAGAATAGCCATAAAACAACAGTAAAAAACTTTATGAGCTATAAATTTTTCCCATGAATCAAGAAAAATATTCTGAAGAGTATTTCATGTTACATACATGAGAGATAAAATGGAATGTTTTTATATGGGGGGGGGCCAAATTTGGCAAGTAATTAAGGATCCTGAATGTAGCCTATAAATAAAATATAAATCACCTCGTTTAGTAACTAGAAATAATTTTTCCATGAATCAAACATACTTAGATTTGTAGAAGCTGACTCATCCAGCCATTCAGTGTAGGAAATCCTTTCCACTTGCTGTTGAGCTTCTGGAGCTGCATTTTGAATTACAGCACTGTTCTCTTGGTACAAAACTTTCAGCTGCATTGAAAACTTTTCACCACAAAGTCTGTTGCCATCCATATCCTATCAGCAAGTTTTATTTCCTTTATAGTAGTTTTCACTATTTCTAATGAATGGCGTTAAATTGCTTTACTTACATTCATTTATATATTGAAATGTAAAGTGTTACTAACAGTGCCTAGTATAAAACTGAACAGCAAACATGGCTGTCTTTTAAAAAAGGGAGAGGAGAGCATTATAGTTATGTTAGATAAAATGTCCCTGGAAAAGAAAAACTGGTGTCTCTGAATCATAATCTAGCTTCAACTTCCTGGTAGTTTTAGAAGAACCCCCTTTGGGGACAGCAGTGGGTAATGAGTTCTGTGGAACAATAGGGCTTATCATAGTCTGAGCATCTGGCAGGTCTGTAGTACAGGCTAGGTTCGTACAGGATATCCAAGAGGAACATAGTCATAGGCTGGTCTATATTTTCTGCTTCTAAGTTCATCGTGGCTGACTTCCAGCTCTCGGACATAGGCCAAAAGAGAGTTTTTCTTTCAGTTAAGTGAAGACCTTTAATTGATCCAAGACACAGAGCACAAAAAGGAAAGCATGAACTTTATTTGCACCTGCCTTAGACAGGTATTGTGCAAAAATGAACCTAAGGAGAACTTGCTTAGCATTGTCAGGCTAAAGGACTAGCCAGCAGCAAAAGCCATCTTGGTGATGACAATTCTGCTTCCATATGCTGTTTCTTGAGTCACACTTCTCTAGTCTATCAATAGTCAGGTTGCCCTCTCTGTTTTACAAATAGTTGCCTCGGTTTTTCACCTGTGCGTGGGATGGAGGGGAGCCCTGTGTCTTCACTTGTCTGCCATCTTGCCAGAACTCACATTCTGAATCTTGTATCTTTGTCTGACCTTCCTTCTCCCCCACCCTTTATAGAATTAAACTAGTAGAATCTTTTCTTTTTTGATCTTTAGTACTTTTGAGGTTCACAGTTATTAGTGTGGAGTTGATTACCACCATTATTCTGGGATAATGTCTGTAGTCTTGATTGCAGGGTGGCTCACACACACACAAAAATTGCCTTTGTCCATGGACAAACCCAGTTGCCTGGCTGAGCGTGGTAGGCACTTAGTAAAAGGTTGAAAGAATGATACATTGTGATATTTTAGAGAATAACTACTATTTACTAGTTGTGAGTTAGGTTAATAAATTCTTTCTCCCTTTCCTCACTGATAAAATAGGAATGGTAATGAAATCTATAAAAAATGGTGCCTAGCATGTAGGAAGCACTGAATAAAAATTAGATTATTGTTTCTGTCGTATGATAGTATTATTTAAAATGAAATTACCAATTGACCAAAGCCTTTGCTTAAAATACCAGATTTTGGTGTCATAGTTCAGAGACACTCTCTGGACACACATATTCAAGATGAATAATCTCCTTGATCTTGTCTCAGGTAATATATACTGGAGAGCAGCATACTTCTTACTTAAAATTAATGTAGCTAGCCAAATTATCTGACTTCACATTAGTTACCAATCTCTATATATTTGTGGTCAAGATATTAGCCACATTTCTAGATACTCTCTCTGGAAGTATTAGGTATTCACAAAATGATTAAATCTATAAAGCAATTAATGTTTGTTAGTCATTTCTGTCAGTCTGGAAACACAAAGGCTGTTGGAGCTGTAAAGGTTCTTGAAGCTTAACTCCATTTTAGAGAAGGGAGAAAACATGGCACTCTCCAAGCCACAAGTCAGTTCAGTCCCAGAATTCCTAACCTGCTGCCTCTTCTTAAGTGGTTTTCTTTCTCAGTCTTTTGTTCCTCTTCTTCTTTTTATTAATTTTCTCTTTACTATTGCACTTAATTTTGGTTTTTGTTTCCTACCTACAGAATTAGTTCTTCATATTGTGGGGAAAATATGACTGACATATAAGAGAGAAAGATTTTATCCCCTTTCCATTTCCAGTCTCTGGTGTCTTCTTCTCATGTATGTAAAGGTTTTTCCTGTGTATATATAACTTCTTAAGAGTTTATAGATCTGAGTGTTTTGGTTGTAAACAACTGGATACCTTTAGCAGAGAGGAAAGTTAAAAGAATTGACTTTTTCCTCACTTGGAATGGCTCACTTGCTCCCCTTAGGCTTCCTGCCAAATTGAGTCTAACACGAGAAAAAGAAAAGCAGTCAGAAGCAAACTTCTATGCCCTTGAGAAATTTATTGCCACTATGAAAAAAGGTTATATGTGTTAGTTGTTCCTAATATTTTATTACTGCTTAGAATTATTTATGAATAAATCAAGGATTTTTCCCTGTAGGAAAAGTCACATTAATTCCTACAAACCTCTTTCTATCTGACTTCCCCCTCCAGTCCCTCTGTAAGCAAAAAATTTGAGCTCTTCTGGTAAATAAATTTAAAATTAAGAGTTAATTCAATGCAATAATTATTAACTAGTAAAAACCACATACCAGATGCTGTGATGACACAGAAAATTTGAACAAAACTGGAGGTCAGAGTTGGAGGAAAAAATACCATTTGGGTGATGTCAGTCCTGATTATAGAGCACTACTAGTCTTTATAGAAAATAAAATATGTTGTTTAAGAATTTTATATCTATTAACTCATTTAATCTTTACAGTAACTCTGAGCTAGGCACTGCTACTCATATCTCATTTTATAGGTGGGGACACTGAGGAACAGGCTTGCCTAAACCTCTCAGCTGTGGGAAAGGGGTAATGAACCTAGCATGCAGGCCCAGCTGCCTGGTCTCCCATTTCTCTGCTCAAGACTATTGTTTTATCCGAAGTGAGTGTAAGAATATCAGAGATGTAACAGGTTGACCCGGAGGTCAGTAATCAGCTTCTGGTACCCTGGCTTGTGTTTTGGAGCTCTGTGTGAATGCGTTGTTGGTTTTTTCTTTTTCTTTTTAACAGACATGGCTGGATTCTGCCAAAGAAATAAAAAAACAAGTTCGTGGTAAGTGAATACAACCCTTTTTAGAGCTCTTTCATTCTCTCAGTGGGTCAGAGAATTTCCACCCATCTTCTAGTTGTGAGTCACTTTAGACTCCTTACTACATAGATGGCTTTGAAATTGCGATAAAATCTCCCCCTGGAAGGAGGGATTCCATAGCAGAAAGATATAGCAGAGGTGGTAAGATTTTTTTTTACAACTGGGCAAAGTTGGGGACTATAGGAATGGTTGAGAAACAGAAAAAGAACAAAGATGAGAAGAGAAAAATGCTACATGGGTCAGTTCTTGAAAGAGTAGTGGTTGAAACTTTAGTGGCCGACAATTGGTTTGCTGCTCAATTCTGTTTCTTTCTGATGGCTCGCAACTATTGCATCCAGTCTTTTCTGTCTCTATAGTTTTTTTTTTTTTTTTTTGGTCTATTTTCAACAGTCTTACAAATTGAAATACAGGACACTGAAAGGAAAGCAAAAAAATATATTGAAAAATAAGAATTCCTTGTATATGACCACTCACTTAATTCCAAATCCTGTAGCAAATGTTACTACTGAACACTGCTGATGTTCTGAATAATATTTCTAGGCCTAAAAGGTGTACATTAATATATTGTAGTCCTAGTCCCAATGGGGATAGCCAAGGGTAGAGACACACCCCTCCCTCATCCCTGTTTATCAGTACATGTCCTTTTAGTAGTTTATTTTTGAGAAACTTCTAGGAACTGAAATAGACATTACTCATCATGATTAATAGGTTTTAACTTTCATGTGAAAACAAAATTTTTCATTGACTTCTTATGGTGAGATGTTTCCCTATATATGGTTTATATTTCTCAAGATTAAGAAACAAAATGCTCTTTTGGACTGGCTTTCCACATTGCTCCTTGACTATTGAAATTTGTTTCAAAATATCAGTTAGAGCGAAAAATCTCCAGATTATTTGAGACATTACAAGAAAAAAAAACTTAAGGCTCTTTTTAATTAAAATGCTTTTAGTATTCAGTATTACTCAGAAGAAAATGATTGTACAAAAACACTCTTTAGGAAGAAAAGGGAGTTAAAAAAGAGTTTATAAGGGGTAGAGAAGAATACTAGGAGATTATCTTCCTGTTAAAAAATCTTTTCCCAAGAAAAAGAACACCATTAAATGTTTGTCTTTTTTTTGTGAGTCCTCAGTCTAAACATCTTTTTCTTTTTAAAATAAAAATGTATTATGCATAGCATGAAAATATTAAAAGACCTCACGGAGAGAAAAATATTTTGAATATTTTAGATAGTGCTAATAATCAGAAATTTAAGTATGAGCATAAAATTCTTTTGTGTTTATTTTTACAGGTATCCCTTGGAATTTCACATTTAATGTAAAATTTTATCCACCTGATCCAGCACAATTAACAGAAGATATAACAAGGTAAATCATTTATTAATAGTTAAATATACAATAAGTAATTCTTATTATTATAAGCTCTGGGAATTTATTCAGAATTGAAGAAAAATAATGAGTGATTAAACCTGAGGTTGAAAGTTTGAAGGAATATGATGTGCTATTAAGTCTAAGATAGAAAGTTTCTGGTTTCTTCGAGATAATGAAATAAGCAAACCTAAAATCCTTTTAGACTGGCAACTCTCCCCATTGCTCCCTAACTGTAAAATATTGTTTCAATTGTAAGTTCGAGCAAAAAATGTCCAGTTACTTGCCAGACTTACCTAGAGGAAATTGGCAGGAGAATTAACCTTGTTTATCTATCATGGGTGTTAATGTCAAGGTGTAGACAGGAACACGTATAAACCCACAACACTCTCCAAAGATCAAGTTCTATTTTTTTTTCCCTTAAATACTCCTTTTGCATTATGTTCTCTCTTATGGGGATCAAAAAGTCTGATATTTCAATGTTGTTTCTTTCTGTCACTCTTTTAAAGTGTATGATTAGGAAAATGAGCCTCATAAACTGAATTTTCCTCAATAATTTTTGAACCCACTTAATTTAGGAAATGAATTGTGTACTCTGTAAAGGAAGCTTACTGATTTCTTTTAAGAAAGCTGCCTTTATTGGATCCTACATAAATATCAACAAAAAAGAAAATGGGAAAGCAATACATATATTGTAAAGAGTAATACTGTACAGAGCTGTTACATCCATAACATCTTGCTGAGGGCCTTATTTATTGTAGATGTCTGGTGAATGTTTATTAACATTGAATTGAAGTGTTGGTTAAGAAAGTGTTTTATATTTAAAATTTTTCTGTTTAACTGTCTGACTTCAGACACTTTTAAAACCTCTGGGTCTCAGTTTTCTTATCACTTGAGGGAATAACTCAAATAAGCTCTTTATATACTGAAATGTCTGCACCATTTTTAAAGATTATTTTTTGTAATCTTTAGTACATTCTTGAAGTTGTAATGCCATCTCTTTTAGTTATTTCAGTTATTTCTTTAGTTATTTTAAGCCATTTCTGTTTTGTAGATAATATTTGTCTCTTAAGTTGCTAGTTACTCACTTTCTTCATTGAAGCTTATTATATAGAAAATAAAACAAATCTGTAAAAATAATTGCTGATCACCAACATTTTAGAGATATTTATGATTCTGTGACTTGATTGGCATTGCTGTCTTAAAAGAAACTTTTATGTAATGACTAATTATTATAGGTAGCAAAAATGATTATTGGGCCCTCCCTGGTGGTGCAGCGGGTTAAAGCACAGCACTGAGAAGCTAAACCCACTTTCGCATGAGTTCGATTCCCACCTGCTGCCTGCCCCGGAGGTGACCACATGGCGTGGCAGACCTCTCCTGACCTGCCCGCTGCTCCCCTCAGCAGTGTACTTCATCGATCTGCCTGATCTGCTCCCCACTCTGTCTCTGGTGAAGCCTCTCACCGCCCCTGAGCCTCTGGCCTGTACCCCAGCTCTGTATGCACAAATAAATCTTAAAAAAAAATGATTATTGATGTTTATACTATTCAACACCTTACTATAACCCAAACAAGAATATGAGTAATTAATACAGGAATTTTCCATTTAATCGTATCTTCCAGTTTTGTTTTGTTTTTTTGTTTGTTTGTTTGTTTTTGGTAAAAGACCCCTAAGCTGGCCAACTCAGTGGGTTAGGACAAGTGCCAATGAGATCAGGGGCATCAGTGTGAACAGCCTGCTGTCAGAGAGCATCTGACATGTAGGGAGGGTGCTCCATAGTTTGTTGGGCTGAACTGTGTTACCCTGATCTGAAGGCCCCAATGAAGCGCACAGGTAGAACAGTATTACGAAGATGATAGTGTGTGGAAAGCTGCGTGCAGCTTAGTTTCTTGGAGGAGAAACATAACAAAAATGTTCATGTTTATTGAAAAGCATCTTTGTATATGAAAGTATCTATGCATTTGTCAAAGGAGTATATAGAAAAGAAAGAGCCCGATTTTGGAGTCAGATGGCCTTTATTGCAATCTGACACTGAGCAAGCTTACCCTTTGGGGTTGCCCTCATATGTATGATCTGGTAATGGTACACACCTCACAAGTTTTTTTGTGAAGATTAGATCTAGTTATACATCTATGCATATATACATATCTATATATTTGTAGATAAATAATTTTTATGTGAGATATGTTATATTGTGTCTCATCTTAGTACTAACATACTTAGCACACTCAATAGAATAACTTTTTTTCTTTTTATCTTCAGTCTTTTCCCAACTTTTCCTTTCTTTCTAAATAATTTTCCAACCATAAGCCCAACATAATTTTTTTCAAAGATTTATTTATCTATGCATACAGAACTGGCCAGAGGCGCAGGGACGGTAAGAGGATTCACTGAGAGACAGAGTGGGGAGCAGAATAAGCAGATTGATGAAGCACACTGCTGAGGGGAGCAGTGGGCGAGACAGGAGAGATCTGCTACACCATGTGGTTCACCTTGCAGACTAGGGATCAAATACTGAAGTGGCCGTGGCTAGCTTGCAGTGCTGTGCTTTAACCCGCTGTGCCACCAGGGAGGGCCCTCAACATAATTTTTTTAAGTGCTTTAAGTGGGAAGTTTAAAACACAGAGAAAGGAAAAAACATAGTATAGTTTTTTAGTACAATGAATAATAGTAAAATTAACAACCAAAGACCCTCTGTTTAGATTGAGCAATTATTATCTCAAATTTACTTAATTTCTTTTTTCCGCCCTCCTCTTTCCTCCCCTTTTCCTTTTTTTCCTGTATTTTCTTATTGCTGTTGCTGACATGATAACACACTTTTTCTTTTTTTGTCTGTAGGTATTATTTATGTCTTCAGCTCCGACAGGACATAGTTGCAGGCCGTCTGCCCTGTTCCTTTGCAACCTTAGCATTGTTGGGTTCTTACACCATCCAGTCTGAGCTGGGAGACTATGACCCAGAGCTACATGGGGCAGATTATGTCAGTGACTTTAAACTGGCCCCAAATCAGACCAAGGAACTTGAAGAGAAGGTCACAGAACTGCACAAATCATACAGGTAAATACATCTCCAGGGCTTGTTTCTTTGTTTTGGCAATAAGTTTCAGACCTTGACCTGGGTTTGATGCAGTGTTTGCTTTAGCTAGAATGTAGTAGTCTGAAAAAAGTCAGTTGGAGATCAGTATTCTCTCTCAATTCTTTGGACAAGTTTTTTAAGCCCATTGAACCTCATTTTTTTCTCAGCAGAGTAAAGTGTGTTATAAGAAAAACAAATATGGTAAAACACTAAGCACATAGTCAGGTACATCGTAGGCACTCAATGAATGGTAGCTATTATTACTGTTGTCTTTTTTATTTACCCAAATTTTAAACATACTGTGCTGTATTTAGGTACTTTGAGGTCCCTAGAGCAGGATGGCAGAAGGCTGCTGAAGCCCTTGGAAATATTTTAGAGTCTATATCAAAATCATTGCTCTTCTTCATGGGAATAAGTGGTAATGTTGGGAGATCTAGTTCAGTGATCAAGAGGGATGGCTTGCATCAGACTGAATGGGGCTGAAATCTTGGCTCTGCTTGGTCCTAGACTTTTGACCTTGGGTAATTTACTCATCTGAGCCTCAAGTTTCCTTATGTATCATGGAAATAACTACCTCAAAGGAAATAGAGTAATTGATAGGATTAGAATAAATAATTATGGACAAACTTAGTCTTATACATAATAAAAATTCAGTACATGCTAGCTAATTTTAAAGTGCCACGATAATTTGTTTTTTCCTACCATAGTTACTGAGTGATTTACTATAACTAAACTTTATAAGCTATTTTAGCTTATTAATGTGAATGTCTGATCTTAAATTACTGAGCTTTGTCAACATGAGTTATGTTATACTACAAAGCTAAGAGAAAAATCCAGAGTGCTCCTAGTAGGCTCTCCAGGATAATAACAAATATTCTGTCTAGCCATTGCTCCATCCTGTTTCCTCAGTGTGGTTGTAATAGGACCTGCATGGACTGGGATACTTCAAATTAGACTAAGGGCTCCCAATTCCAGGTACCTTAATGTCCCTGTAGGTTCCAGTCCTTCACTCACGAAAACCATAAAAGCGCTTATACCTTTGCCTACAATCAACATGTCAAGAGTCTTAAAAGTACTACCCTACTTATATGGGGTCACTTTGTTTCCACAGAGAACTGCCCACGTTTGGCTTTCAAGTGTGAGTGTGGACATGTCTAGGACCACTAAATACACCACTTGTACCTTGCCAGTGATTGTAACTGAAACACATTATTAAATATTTTTATATGTATTCTGATTATGAATCTAAATACATGTATCCATATACATATAAAAACAAGTAATAGAAAGAAACCATCAATTGAAATATGCTGTGAGAATGATAGGATTAAAGGGGAATGAATGATCTTTTTATTTTCTAATAGTTTCAAATAATTTATATTAACTTTTAGTAGCATCATCTTTGGACAGTCAGTAAAGCAGTAAAAGGAAATATTTCACCGCTTCTGTGGAGCCAAATAGCAGAAAGCAGTGGTATCAGATTGTGACTAATACCATGTATCTTTGATGACATTTTAAAAAAAGATTTATTTATGCATTTAAGAACTGGATACAGGCTAGAGATGTAGGGGGTGAGAAGATTCACCAGAGACAGAGTGAGGAAAGAACAGGCAGATACACTGAAATACACTGCTGAGGGGAGCAGCGGGTGAGACACAAAAGGTCTGCTGCGCCATGTGGGTCAGTTCCCTGTCAAAGGATCCAATGCCATGGCTATAGATAGCCTCATAGTGCTGTGTTTTAACCCCTTGTACTGCCTGCCAGAGAGGCCCTATGATGAATTTTTAGTGGCTATTTAATCATAATGGGGTCTCAGGTTTGAGGGAACTTTATAGTCTAGCTCATCCAAAGCTTGCTTTGCCTTTGTATCACAAAAGGCAATCATTGCAGTCCTAGTCAGTTTTTCAAATAAAAGTGGTTTTCTCATTTAAAAAAGAAAAGCTGGCAAATTTCATCTCACAAATCATGTAATCATTGCAATAACTAAAAGCAGCTCATTGTGTGTCTATTGTTATGTAATAGGTAACTAAGCATGATATCACCTTTGCTCTCTATAACCACTCTCAAAGGTGTTTTGCAGACCCCTGGTGTCTTCCAGATTTCTCCAGGGGGTCTGTGAGGTTAAGATTCTTTTCATGAACTAATCAAAACCATCAACCGTTTAGCAAGGTAGCAGGATATAAAATCAACACACAAAAGTCAGAGGCCTTCCAACACATAAACAACCAGTCAGAAGAAGCAGAAAATTTTTAAAAATCTCCTTTTCAATTAAAACAAAAATAAGCAAATACCTTAGGAATCAATCTAACAAAAGAAGTAAAAGACCTATACAAAGAAAATTACAAAACACTGTTAAAAGAAATACAAGAAGACACCATGAAATGGAAAGACGTCCCCTGCTCATGGATCAGGAGAATTATCATCATCAAAATGGCCATCCTGCCAAAAGCAATATATAGATTTAATGCCATCCCAATAAAAATCTCAATGACATTCTTCAAAGAAATAGAAAAAATATTGATGAGATGCATATGGAACAACAAAAGACCTCGAATAGCCAAGACTTTCATGACTAAGAAGAGAATGGAGGCATTACCATCCCAAACTTCAAGCTATATTACAAAGCCATAACAATCAAAACTGCATGGTACTGGAACAAGAACAGACCAGTGGATTTGAATAGAAAACCCAGATATAAACCAACAGGTTTATGGTTAGCTAATCTTTGATAAAGGAGCAAAGAAGATACAATGGAACAAAGAAAGTTTGTTCAGCAAATGGTGCTGGGCAAACTGGGAAGCTACATGAAAAAAAATGAAAATAGATCACTACCTCGCACCATACACAAAAATCAATTCGAAGTGGATTAAAGACCTAGATGTAAGAACAGAAACCATAAAATACCTGGAAGCAAAGATGGGTGAAACACTTTTACTTAATTTCTAACTTACAGCTAGGTATAAAATTTAAAAGGCCAGTTCAATTAAAACTTTTCTTGATGAAGCAGTAAAAAGGTGTTAATTTTACTAAATTTTAAATATATTTTGATTTAATGTTCTGTGTGATTGAGAAATACACAAAAAACACTTCTGCCTACTGATGTGGAAATAGCTGTCTCAAGGAAGAGTACTTGCATAGTTGTTTTAACTCGTGAAATGAATTAGCCAGCTTTTTTTTTTATGAAAAAACCACTTTTATTTGAGAAACTATGATTATTCACAATTAGTTTATTTGGCAAACATTTGCTCAAAGTGAACCAGTACTTTTAGGCTTGGTATATAGCTAACAGTATTTGGTGTTATGACAAATACTTTCAAGCTTCCCTCAGACATCAGTGATCAAAATGGACATCATTCTTATTTTTTTTTTTTTTAAAGATTATTTATTTATTCATACAGAACTGGGGTACAGGCCAGAGGCTCAGGGGCGGTGAGAGGCTTCACCAGAGACAGAGTGGGGAGCAGAACAGGCAGATCGACGAAGTACACTGCTGAGGGGAGCAGCGGGTGGGTCAGGAGAGGTCTGGCTCGCCATGTGGTCTCCTCCGGGGCAGGCGGGAATCGAACTCATGCGGAAGCGGCTTTAGATTCTCAGTGCTGTGCTTTAACCCGCTGCGCCACCAGGGAGGGCCTCATTCTTATTTTTTTTTAAAGATTTATTTATGCAGGGCCCTCCCAGGTGGCGCAGCGGGTTAAAGCACAGCACTAAGAAGCCAAAGCCACTTGAGCATGAGTTCAATTCCCGCCTGCCCCGGAGGTTATCCACATGGCGCGGCAGACCTCACCTGACCACCTCTCCCACTCCCCCAACCCCCCGCTGCTCTCCTCAGCAGTGTACTTCATTGATCTGCCTGTTCTGTTCCCCACTCTGGCTCTGGTGTAGCCTCTCACCACACCTGCACTTCTGGCACATACACCATACCAGAACTAGGGTGCAGGTCAGAGGTGTGGGACGGGGGCTGAGAGGATTCACCAGAGACAGTGGGGAGCACAACAGCCTGCACCGCTGAGGGGAGCAGCAGGTGGGTCTGGAGAGGTCTGGTGCGCCATGTGGGTCATATCCCTGGCCAGGGACTGAACTGGTGCTGTAGTGGCTTCGTAATTCTGAGACTTAACCTCTGTGCCACCAGAGATGCCACTGGACATAATTCTTGAAGGAACAAATTGAAATCGTCTATCAGCTAACAACATACAGTGAATGCACAGGCCACTTTTGTGTACACAGGCATTACTGTCAAAAATATATAACCTGAATCAACTTGAGAAACATCAGACGGGCTCAAAAAGAGGGACATTCAGTAGGATAAATAATTGGCTTGTAATCATCAAGAGGTCAAGATTAAGAAAGTCAAACAAAGATTAAGAAACTGTTCCAGACTGAGGAAGATGGAAGGTTATAAACCAAATAAAAATTGTGTTGTTAACCAGAATCCTGCAGAACATTTTTAAAACAATTAGCTGAACTTACTAGGGCCTGCAGATTAGATAGTATTAACATTAATTTCCTGGTTTTAATAGTTGTATTGAAGTTATATATGAGAATGTCCTTGTTTATAGAAATTTATTTATACTGAAGTTTTGAAGTGACAGATCATCAAGTTGCAATTTACTCTCAGGAAAAGTTATTTGTAACTTTTAAGGGTGTTTAAAATTTGAAAATTATATTTAAAAAATAAATGCAAGGCTCTCCCTGGTGGCATAAGTCTCAGCACTATGAAGCTTTTGGCAGCTACCATAGTATGAGTTTAATCTCTGGCCAGGAAACTGACCCACATAGCACAGCAGACCTCTCCTGTCTCACTCTGTGCTCCCCTCAGCAATGTATGTCAGTCTACCTGTTTGGCTCCCCATTCTGTCTCTGGTAAATCCTCTCAGCAACCCCACCCATACTTATGACCTACACTCCAGCTCTTGTATGCATAAATAAATAAAATAAATCTTAAAAAAAATGCAAGTGTTAGCCAAATCTCTAATATAAGTATTACTTTTTAATTAACAAAGAAAGTCATTGTTCTAAAGTTCAAAATTCTTACTGCCTGTCCTTAATATGGTTTGAAAGCATATTTATTTATGAAAATATTTTTTTACATAGTTTGAAATTTGTAACTGAATTGAAGTTGACACCATTAATATGGTTCTTAGAGTTGGAGGAATCAGTATAGGGAAGATTTTATCATGATTGCTTCATTTACTATTTTAACATTTGTCTTCAAATTTAAGTAATCAAAATTTCTTTATTTTATGAGCTGCATACCATCAAAAAACTAAGGTTGCAATAATAAACATTTATACTTTACAAAGTAGTCTCATAACCGTGACCTCATTTGACCCTACTGTCACAGTTATTCATTCAGCAAAGTTAAGAAAACCATTGCCTGTCCTAGTATCTGGAAGTAGGTATTGTGGTTCTTACTTTATTAGGAGGTAGAGAGTGACAGCGGGCCACCACCCTTTGGTGTGGGAGCCAGTGTTCTAGCTCCAGAGATGTGGTTGAGTCATAACTTGCCCAAGATCATGTGATCCCTCAGGGCCTGTTTCTTCATTAACAAAGTGAAATTGCTGGACTCTATAATCTTCAAGTTCCATTCCAGTTTCAAAATCTTAAAATTCAACCCACTGATACTAGGAACAACAAAAAACATAAACTGACAGGGTGTGGAGGGGTAGAGAGGAAGTAAACTACAGAACTTTCCTGAGATATTCTCAATGACTTGAATATGGGTTTATTTAACTACTCTCCTGTTTGATGTGTTCAATTTCAGACCCATTAATAAATAGAATTCAGGTGTTATGCTTTAGATGTTTGTTGTGATAGGAAGAACTAAGTCTTGAACAAATCTGCAGATTGACTCCTGAGATTTTCTTTTTCATTGTTGTTTCAAGGAACCCTTTGTTCTTTTTAATGAGGGTAAAAACAGATGGGCTAGGAAGAGACTTTCTCCTATTAAATGAATTGGGCACTGCTGCTTTGTTTAGCTTGAGGCAGTCTTAGGGGAAAGAGGGGCTTACATGATTTTTCTTTGGAGATATGATTGCATTATTATTATGAGGTTATACTTGAATAGTCTGACTTGTGCAGTCCTGAGAATATTATCTTTTCCTTAAAACATCAGTTCATGAGCAGTTTCCATAAAAAAAGTTGTAAAAGAGTAGAAAAGGCCATCATAGTATTTAGGCAAAGAGACTAGTTGTTTCAAAGAAACTTAATTCAGTGTATGCCTACTAATGAGGACATTGTAATAATAAAGAAAGCAGTCCCATTATCTGCATGCATCTATTAACCAATTTATTTTGTTTAGATCAGTGGGCAGGATACCATCTGTTACCAGAAATTTTCTTTTCATCAAGCCTGCCCCCACTACATCTCCAGTTAAGTAACTTTAGCTGTCCTCAAATTCCCATAAATACTCAATTCAGGGTTGGTAGAGAAAAAAGCAGTTAAGAGAATATTGTAAATTTTACCAGACCCTCAAAGGATTTAATTTGGTCACTGTCTTAAAAAAAAAAATTAGTGGGAGGAGGGTTTAAGTGAGCTGGAGAAAAAGGATGAGGAGAAGGAGGGACTGAATTGATGGTGGAAAAGAGCTTTGAGGAGATTGTATGTGGGATTTGTTTTAAACTTCTTTTTTCTGATAGCTTTTTGGTGACTTTTTGTTCCTCCAAGATCTCCTTTTCTGAGGAATATTTCAGTTATTTAAACACAGTAGTAAAGAGTTTTTTTCCATAACATTCTACTTGCAAGATATGAAATATATCTATAATACATATTGATCTATATGTCAATATGTATAATATATACATTTACAAGCATATTTGTGTAAAATGTAGTTACACCATAACATTGTATTTCTTATTTTTGTTCTTTCTAAGGTCCATGACCCCAGCTCAGGCTGACTTGGAATTTCTTGAGAATGCCAAAAAGTTGTCAATGTATGGTGTTGACCTTCATAAAGCAAAGGTAAAGATAACCTTGGCCTTTTTCAATATGCTTACATCAGACCTGTGCCATATAGTACCTTCACCCATGGTATTATAAGGTATTCAAAAGAAATAGTAGTAGTTCGTAGAATTTTAAGTCTTTCAATTGAATCACTCAGGTGCATTACATATATGCATTGAATGTATACAATCTTTGGGGTTGCATAGAACATTCAAAAGAGTTAGTTCTTACTGGAATTTTTTAAAATCTGTCAGTGGAATCAGTCAGGTGTATCAAATGTATAAATTGACTTGCCCTTTTGTGACTTTATTTCCACGTGAAGTTTCATGTGCATATACTGTAAGGATCAAAAGGTATAGCACCTAGAGCAAAAGAAATGATACTTTCCTAAAATGAAGATATGTTTGAAAATATAGAATGTCAGTGAGGCTTTTTTTATAGCCAAGATCACTTATATCAGAATCACCTGTAAGGTTTATATGTTGTGTCTTAAGGTCCTCCCAAATTTAAAGAATTACTTTGGAGGAGAGACTCTAGAATCTCTGTAATCACTGAACATCCTTAATGATTCTCCTTTATATTTCAATGTGAGAATCATCAGCACAGCTCAAGGTGGTGGTTTTCAAAGTGTGATCTCTGAACTGGCAGCGTTTAGCATCATCTTGGAACTTGTTGAAAGTGTACCTTTCACGCCCATCTCAGACTTACTGAATCAGCAATTCTGTGGGTGGAGTCACGTAATCTGTTCTAAGAAGCTCTGCAAATTATTCTAATGCACACAGAATGGACTATAGTGACTCTGTTGAGGAATGCTGGGATGGGGAATTGAGCTTTAATACTAGCCATGCGTAAATAGAGCTTAACCGAATACTTAATGGAAGTCATTTGACTTCTCTCATCTTCAGCTACTAAATAGTTAAGGAAATTATGAGGGAAAGAGCTCAAGGAATGATCTGAAGTTCCTTTAGAGGTACTAATTAGGATGGTTAGTCTCATGATGATGAGACTCAGAACCATGTCCAGTGAGAAATAAGCAAAAGAATAAGGATGCTTAGCCCACAGGAGAGAAAGTTTAGGGAAGACACAACATTCATCTTAGTGTATTTCAAGGATTGATGTGTGAAGTCCAGATTTTACTGTGGCTCCAACTTATAAAACTAGAGCCAGGGAAACTACAGGGAAATATTGTCCAGCTCAGTTTGACAAATTGTGTAATAGTCAGAGCTATTCAGAGACAGGCTAGACTGCCTGAGAAGGTTGTGTGCACTCTGTCACTGGAGGAACTCCAAGATAGATTAATCATTTGTTAGGAATTTAGAAAAGGACATTCAAACATCTGGTGGATGATTGCACTAAAGTGATCTTTCTGGCCACTCCCAACCTCAATATCTAATACCTGAAATCTCTTCCTTACTTAAATGTTACTAGTTCTAGGAAAATTTCATTGTGTGTTAATTTTTCTTAAGATGTTGCTCCTTACTGTTTTGCCATAGATACTATAGCTTCTGTGAGTCTCTAAAGTACTCTGATGGTAGGTTGAGTAGCACATCAGGTCAGGTGTGGTTTGATCCATGAAGTTTTTGGATGTTACTTCTCGTTTCTGCTAGAGGCTGCTGTCAAGTTAGTAATTGTTAGGAAAGAATGAAGGATTTAGGCAGTATGTTCCTTTCCCAAAGGATGTAGAGCAAATAGTGTCTCCAAAACATAGAATTAAGATACAGGTATAGCTGTACCCCCAGCTTTAGGAACTTAAGAGGGTTCTTCTGAAAAATTCTGTTATATGGTCATCAAATTGAAGCTATATATAATTACTACTTATTGATTGTGCTATACTAACACTCGAAGCACTAATGTTTCTCTATACTAACCTTGAGAAAAGAAACAGAGATAAACTCAGGTGAAATTAATTCTCCTTTAATTAAAGACATAAATAAATAAAGACATAGAATGTCTTTAACAAAAATACATGTAAATGTGACCTTTTATTACATATATGTCATATGTAATATATGTATGTATTTGAATATATGTATGTGTGTATGTATGTATGTATTTGAATATATTTAAAAATATATATTCAAACCTGAGAAGGTTGTGTGCTCTCTGTTGCTGGAAGAATTCCAAGATTCAAGATAGGCTGGAGATATACATATATACATATATATGTAACAGTTATATAGAGATAGTTATAGATAAATAAACTATTTTAATGGCCATGCTGTATTTTGCTATATGAACAGACAGTAATTTAACCCTGTAATGCTTGGATACTTGGGTTATATTCAGTTTTTCACTCGTATAAAGCTCTGAACATTTTCATATATAACGCCATTTCTGTGATTTCCTTAGAATAGATTACAGAAGTAGAATTACTGAGACTGATTTGGCTGTTTTAAAGACATTTGGGATAGGTCAGAACATTGATGTTTCTAGAATTGTATGTAAAAGTTTTTTACATAGCCCAAACAGTCATGTGGATTATGATTGTTAATTTAAGGTTTATTTTTTTATTATATGCTTTGTAACTGCTGTTGGTGGTTGACATCTGTAGATTATCTTTTAATAGTCAACAGTGTATTGAGTACTTCACATAAGACAAATGCCATTTTTTTTTTTCCAGGACTTGGAGGGAGTGGATATCATTCTAGGTGTCTGCTCTAGTGGTCTTCTGGTTTACAAAGATAAGCTGAGAATTAACCGCTTTCCTTGGCCCAAAGTGCTGAAGATTTCTTACAAACGTAGCAGCTTTTTCATCAAGATTCGACCTGGAGAGGTATAGAAGCCACATGTCTTTTTTTCTGAATCAAACAGAGACCATGCCTAAAATATCTCTTCATTCCTGTTTTTCTTGTCATGTCTTTGAAGAGGTCACTCCACAGCTAACTACTGATATATAGGAGCAGATAATTTGGTTTTCTCAATTAGTCCATCTGGACTAATGCTTCTTCTTTTTCTTACTGTTGATCTTCTGGACATTTTATTTTATTTAAGGAAATAGCCCATAACCAAAGTGAAATGTAGATTGATAAACTTGATGGAAATTTTTTTTCATAATAGCATGAGATTTTTAAATTGTGGAGTTAACTCATGTTTTGTACCACCAATTTCTTACCTTTTGTGATTAAAATTTTTTTGTAGTGTAGTTTCTAGTGTTTACAAAAGATATGTTCTAGGGGAAAGTGCTAGATTTTTTTAAAAAGTTGCATGTTCAGCTCTATACCAGTTGGTATAGGATATACTAATACTGGCCAAATTTAAATTTTATGTTGAAGAGTTATCATGGCAGAGCAGAGGCAGGAGAAGGGATTCTAGCTCCTACCCTGCTAGCTACTGAGCAAAAGACCCTGTACGACCTAACGCTCAGCTTCCTTCCCTTCAAGAGGGTAATATTTCCTCTGTAATGGTTGATTTGAAGATCAGATGAGCTGCCTTTAAAAGCTGTAAACAGAAAAGCATCAGGCTTATATGAAGTGGCTTTTTTGTGTATATATCACCATCTGCTGGTGAGAAGTGACTCATTATTAGATCATGGAAATACTTAATATGCAGCCTTAAACATTTTGAATAAGGATTATCAATGAAATTTGTTATTATTTATCTGTGTCTTGCATGGAGCAATCAGTGTCTTCCCACAAAGAATTAAAATCCCAAGTCATTCAGATGACAAGTATTTATTAAGGACTTTCTTTGTGCCAGACACTAATCTACAGGCTAGGAATATAACACTTAATATACTCCATCCTTCAACAACCTTAGGATTTAATATGAGAAAACAAAAAATTAATGCACAAATGAAAACACCTGTTTTCTTTAAAGGTCAACTATATAGTGTATACTAAAAATGAAGAATTCTTAAGGAAGCAGACAGTAGGGTTTTCGAGAGGTATGGTATTACCACCACAGTAGTTGATTTCACTTGATGTAGTGGACACTGAAGTTTGCTTTTGCCACTTAGTCGCTGGGCAACTGAGCACATAACTTCCATGGCCACAGTTTCTTCATGTGTCAGAACATAAATGATGTCATATCATTTTAGTGTCATTGACAATGGTAGGTAATAGAAGTAAGTGTCAGTTTTCTCTTTATCTACTTAAGGCAGAGACAAGGAGGGCAGTGTTAGCAGTAGTCCTAACTTGGAAAGGAAAAGAGAAGATATTTGATTATTCAAGAAATCTGATTTAAGCTAAAGGTTTTGGCTTCTGCTACTAAAAACTACTACAGGATAATTATGATTTGTTGGAGCAATCATTCAGTGTCCAATTCCTAATCATTGAGTAGTCTAGAATCTCAAATGCAGATGATGACTAAGGAAGAGCAGTGTCTAGACAATCAGAAGGTGATTTTGTCTTGGAAAAATGTATGTACAGTGTATGTATTTTGCTGAACTAAATAAGACATATAAATAATGTGAAATGTATTCCCTGGCTTCCTTGCTTTGGAAAAAGTCACCCTCAGTGAGTAAATTTATTTTGTTGAGTAGGAAAAAAACTTTTTTTAATATATATATATTTTATATCATTCTCATTTTTCTAAGTGTATGCTTTTTCATCTTGGTTGTAACCCCCATGGAGTTCCACCACCAATTTACCTGTGCGCCATCACCGTAGTCCCTTGTACTCTTCCTACCCCTGTTTTGATCCTATTCCCCTCACCCAGCTTTAGAATGTCTCTGGTTTATAGTTGTTTGTTGATTTTGGTTTTTACTTTATTATAATTACTTGTTTTAACCTGATCCCTAACACTTCTTCTGTAAGTAAAACCATCTGGTATTTCTCTTTTTCTTTTTGGCTTATTTCACTAAGCATGATCCTTTTCCTGCTCCATCCATTTTGCCGCAAATGGCATGAATTTATCTTTTTTGATTGCTGAGTAATATACCACTGTGTATATGCACCACATTATCATGATCCAGTCATCTATTTTTGGGCATTTGGGTTGATTTCACATGTTACCTATTGTAAATAGTGCTGGAATAAATATAGGGATGCAGGTATCCTTTTAAATTAATGTTTTTGTGTCCTTTGGGTAGATCCCTAGGAGTGGATTTATTGGATCAAATGGAAGCTTCATTTTTAGCAATTTGAGAAACTTCCAAACAGCTTTACATAGTGATTGAACCAGTTTGCATTCAAGTAGGGAAAAGCTTAATGGTATTTTGTGTTTTAAAATGTAAATACTCTTTTTATTCCCAGTGATCTCTTCTGAAGGACTGTATTTCTCTGATATTATATCACTCTGGTCAAATAGTATTTCATGTTCCATCTTTATTCCTGTTTTTATAGCAAGAACAGTATGAAAGTACTATTGGATTTAAACTTCCCAGTTATCGAGCTGCTAAGAAATTATGGAAAGTCTGTGTAGAGCATCACACATTTTTCAGGTATTGTTCTTAAGCAATTTTCAAGGACAAATTATTTATGCATGTTTCTATTTTGAGCTTGCTTTTGAAATTCTCTTCTTTGCTTGGCTGGCATTCTTTTATTTAGTTCAGGCGAGATCATCTTAAGCAAGATACAGTGGATCCAGTCCTTCTCCTTTAGACTGAAACATGTGCTCCATGTAATATGACAGAAGGAAGAGAGAAGTGAGCAGTAGGACTTCACCGGGAGCTCTGATGATTACCCTCACTGGAACTAATATCAGTCTTGTCAGGGGAAGCACCGACTTACTTCCACATGGAATTTCTCTAGACAGCATTTAACTACTTTCTGTGGGGGCTTTTAACTGCAAGGTTAAAGATAGAAAGTAGATTGTTATCTTGACTCTGATCAGTCTCAGAAAGGGAACATGGAGAACCCTGTTTGAAGCCAATTATATCCTATAATCAGAAGACAGAAAAATGTCTCAACTGCCCTGCTTTTCAAGAGACCACATCATTAATGCCTGGCATTCAATTACCATGTTTTTTCTGTGTCTGTTTACCCTTTGAGTAAGCACTATACTAGGCTTTGGCACTATACTGCAAGATAGTTCTAGTTCCTATCTTGTGGAACATATTGTCTAGCAGAGAAGATAGACCTTAGATGAGTCATTGCTTTTACTGAAAAGGCAGCTAACTGGTTATTGTCAGTATTTAAGAAAATTTCCTTATTAAAGGAAATTGCACTCTTAGCAACAGTGAAAAGAGTAGTATAATGAACTCCCTTGTATCTATCACCCAACTCCAATAATTATCATCCCAAGGCCAATCTTATTTCATCCATCTCCCCACCCACTCCTTCCCACCACTTCTCAAACTATTTTGAAGCAAATCCTAAACCTAGTCATAAATAAACTTGACTCGTTATGAATGGCTCGAGAGAGAGATAGCTATGATCTCCTCTCCTTCTATTTGTATCTTCATGTTACACTAAGCTCTATAACACTATGGGCACAAAGAATAGTCAGGAAAAATAACACTTCAATTCTCATTTCAAAATAAAATGCAGTACATCTTATGCCTAATTAAAGAATCTTAATTATTGGCATATGCTTTTTTTTTAATGCATTTAGCATCCCCTCTTTAGAATCAACACCCCAACTTCCAAAATAGAATTTTTATAAAGGGTAAGAAAGAGCAGCTATTTTCAATGTTTAATGTCTGTAGTATATAATTCAGCTGTGGCTAGTATATTTACTAGCAGGTTAGCATATATAAATCCATCTTGTCAAGATAAGAAGACATATTTACATGTAATGTTTCATTATATGAAAGAAATGTTTAAGTATTCCAAGGTAAAAAAAAATACTCTCTTTTTGGTAGTATTTTTCATGTAGTGATTTATGCATGTATTCAGGAAACATTTATTGAGTGCCAAATTCATGCCAGGCACAATGCCAGAAATGAAAACACAAAGATGAATAAGTCATAGTTTTTATTCTTTACCCTTAAAGAGTTCACAGTCCCATAGGGGAGACCAGCTTATAAATTGTTTCAAATCAGTGCAGTAAATACTGTGGACAAAAGGGAGCAAGGGATACTGGAAAGGAAGAAGACGGAGTACCTAAAGGAAGAGAAAATATAGCAAAAATAAAAAGTAGGTCACTGGGTATTAATTAAGTTTGGCATATATTTGGCAAGATTGTCATTTTAATAGAGTGGAGAATGAACTCTGGACTTAGACCCGGTTGTTGCCTAACCTCTTAACAACAATGTGACCTTAAGCAAGTAACGTCCTTCTTGAGATTCAACTTCCTATGCATATGAAATGATGACTAATAGAGGGACATAGTAAAAATAGTCCAGTGCTATAAAAGTATTTTGAAACCATAAGGCCCTGTCTACAGCTGTAAGATGATATTATTAATACAGGTCACAAGTAAATTATCCATGTTGCTTTGAGAAACAACATTTTGAGAAAGAACATAGAATTAATGACTGCTTGGCTGGAGACCCATTTTAGTAACTTTAAAGAACCTATGAGAATTATGAGGCTTTTTTTAATTCTTGATTTTGTCTTTAATCTCATGGTCTCATTAAAGTAAAATAACACAGATTGTTATGTCTTCTCTTCCCAGACTGACATCTACAGACACCATTCCTAAAAGCAAATTTCTTGCACTGGGATCCAAATTTCGATACAGTGGCCGAACTCAAGCTCAGACCAGGCAAGCCAGTGCTCTGATTGACAGGCCTGCCCCACACTTTGAGCGCACAGCAAGCAAACGGGCCTCTCGGAGCCTTGATGGAGGTAGGTACAGAATATGATTTCTTGTGATACCCTCTTTAGGGAGAGATAAAGGAAGTAGAATTATCTACATGAGAATTAAGTTAAAGAATTTCAATAGTAAAACAAAAGGGACCTGACTGATTGTCTAATTCAGTGGAATCACCTTAAGAAAAGGAAACTTGAGTTTCAGAGAGAGTAGCGACTAGATCAAGTGTCCACTACTAGGTTGTGGTTGATTGAATACTATTGGAATTAGGATTTAGAAGCTTTAACACAGAGTAAAAACCTAATGTAGTATACTGAACTAAAGCCCTATCAAACATTTTTAAGTGGGTACTTTTTCAGAGGAAAAGTGACTCTGGTAGCCTCACCAGAGCCATGATTTAAAAATTTAGATTATTAGCCACGTGGCAGTTATAGGCAGAAAGAGGAATGCTGTTATTGGAATCTCCAAATTTTGTTTAAATAAAATAGGAAGGAAATAAGTGCCTTCATGAATGCGTATACTGACAGAAACCTGTCTGAATTTTTTGAAGGTAAGTAAGTCTCAAGGATTTGAGAGCGTTGCTGGAATGAAGTGACAAACCCTATTTGGTTCTTTATGCCTCTAAAAAGAAAAGGTAACGGGTAGATAAAAGTTCAGAAGGCAACTGCCAAAATAGAGTTCTGTCGATTACATTTGTTAAGGAGTTGTCACTGCACACCTCATATGCTACCTATGAAAGCCAGGGACACGTTACAGAAGTTAGAGGCTTGGCTTCTGGACTCTGACAGACTTGGTTCCAATCTCAACCCCTGCATTTAGGATTTTCCCTTCTTGAACAAATTACTTAATCTCTGTTTCTTTTTCTTATTTATAAAACGGGTAACAAGTATGTAATACTATTGTAAAGAGTTTTAATGAGGAATAAATGAGATGGTGTGTGTGTGTGTTGTGTATGTGTGTGTGGTACTTAGCAAAATGGTTGACATTTAATAAGCCAAACATTACCTATCATTAAGATATTATTACTGTTCTAGACATAGCATTATTATTTTATTTTGTATCATTCAGAAACATTATAGGAATGTATATCAGAAACATCAACTCAGTTTAAAGGAATGATGATTGAGGCAGCCGTTCTTAGAAATGAAATTTCCCAAGCACTTTTGTTATTCCATACTTCAAGTCATGCTACTTTCTTTCAGGTGTTTTTATGGTGTCCTGACACTACTGTTTTCATAGTAATAAAACAAGACAGATTGCAGGCTTTGTTTTATTTAATCTCCATCACCAGCCTAGGAATTGGGTTCAGAGATTAATCTTTCCTAAAATGTGATAGTCGATAAATGGGTTGGAATGCAGATTGGGTGAGTTTCAAAACCCATGTTCTTTGAGACACTCATTTATTACTTTTTCAACAAGATACTTGTGCACTTAGTATGTGTTAGGTATTGTTCCACTCACAGAATTTACCGCAGTGGGCATACTGACAAAATCTCTGACAAAGTCATCGGGCTTACATTCTCTGTGTAGAAACAAAACAAAACAATCTAAGATAGTGCTAAGTGCACTCTATGCCATGATAGCATAGAGTGTCTGCAGCTGGGGGCATTGTTTGAGGAGTTGAGATTGAGGAGTTCAGAATATTCTTCTGAGGAGTCCATTTGAATGGACACCTGAATTAGGAGAAGCGGAGATACTCACAAAATCTTGGAGGAGAAAATTCTGGAAGAGAGAGTAAGTATTACAAAATCCTGGAGGTGGGAATGAGCTTGACAAGAGGCTAAGTTAGTGTTGTCTCATAGAACAATCTGTGTTGATGGGGATCTATTTTGTGACATCCAGTTTGGGAGCCAGTAGCCTCAGGTGGCCTTTGTGAGTTTGAAGTGTGATGGTGTAACTAAGGACTGAATGTTAATTTAATAGCCACATGGCCAGACAGTATAGGTCAGGATCCTAGTGAATGAAAAGAAGTAAAAAATAAGTGAAGTTAGAGAAATGGGTAGGAGCCAGATAGTGTAGGGCCTTGTAGGTCACAGTGTAGAAATTAGATTTTTTTTTTAATTGCAATTGAAAGTTATTGGGGGGGGGTGATATGACCTAATTTCCATTTTTAGAAGATCACTCTGATTGAGGTGGGAGGAAAGCAGAAGCATAGTTAATTGCTACAAGATATAGGTGAGAAGGTAACAAGTTGGACTCGAGGATTAGCAGTGAAAGCAGCAAAATTTGCTCAGGGGTACATTTTGAGGTAAGCAAGACAGAATAGCTAATAAAGTTTTAGAAATGGTAAGGAAAGAAAATGAATGTTTATACCTAGCTTTGTCATTAGTACGAGGATAAAGTCTGAAAGGAGAACTGAGGATGTGGGAAATAAGACATGGCTGTGGACTTGTTAAGTTTGAGATCACTAAATCTTCATGTCTGCCATATTCATTTAACATCACCAGTGTCCCCTTCCTTGTCCAGCAAGTTACTATGCTTCCAGTTCACCTTAGGCTTGGGGACCTATTGTTTTTATTAATTCATACAAGTTTTTCAGTGAGAAAAACTGAGGTTGAAAAGTTTAAGCTGGGGCCCACCCTGGTGGCACAACGGGTTAAAGCACAGCACCATGAAGCTATCCCAGCCACTGCAGCACCGGTTTGATCCTTGGCCAGGGAGCTGACCCACATGGTGTGGCAGACCTCTCCTGTCTCACTGCTACTCCCCTCAGCAGTGTATTTCAATCAATCTGCCTGTTCTGCTCCCCACTCAATCTCTGGTTAATCCTTTCACCACCCACAATGCTGGCCTGTATGCATAAATAATATACATAAACAAACCTTGTATGCATACATAAATAAATCTTTAAAAAAAAACGTTTGAGCAACTTTTGCATGAGCTCACATATATTAAGTTGTAAAGCTAGGACTAACCTCAGGCTGCTGATACCATGTCCCCTGACTTTTCCGTAAGTAGAATTTCATAGTCACATTGCTACTATGCTGATACATTTTTTTCTTTCTAATGGCAAAATAACCAACAAGTCAACTGTTAATAAGTTTTGTGCCTCGAACAAATTAGACAGCTTTACTTACAGAAACACTGATTATTACTTATAGAAATCCTGTCTTCACTGTTGGAATTTTTCTAGCTGTTGGAATCTCATAGTTGAAGACCTTAATAAATCTTTATGTCTCTGTCTCTTGGCTAATATTGGCTGGCTCTTACTTCAAATTATATATACACTGTATTCTTTAGAGGCATGGGAGATATTTCCCAAAACTTGCCTTCAAAATGCCTTAAGAATGCTTGAGATTCTAAAACTAGAGCCAGTGAAATGACTCTAAGGGAAGGCAAATTGTTGGTAACTTTGCCACTAGCATCACAAAGTGTTGAGACTTGAGAATAGATGAAGTCATTTATTCCAGTCATCTAATTTTATAGAAATGGATCTGATCCAAAAGATAAAAAAGGTATTTGTCCAAAATTAACATAGGTCAAATTTGGGACAGAATCCACATTGTTTGGTAGCTAGAATAATCTTTTCTTTCCTTGCTTTATTCTCTTTTGTCTCCTAATTCTTAGCTACCCACTGTAAGGATTTTTTTTGAAAGATGAATGATCTTATCTGGTCCTCACAGTTACCACAATATTTGTTATAAACACTTAGGTAAATGTTGAAAATAACATGATTGCTTCTCCTGTTTAGTTGAATATGTCAGAATTTTATGTTTCAGATTCCTACATGATATTTTCTAAATATGAATCTTTTGTCAGATATATATATATGCATAGATATAATAGGTACATACATGCATACCTACATGTATATATATTTCTCTGTGTCTTGCTTTTTTCATTTTTTTTTTTAAAGATTTATTTATTTGTGCATACAGAACTGGGGTGCTTGCCAGAGGCTCAGGGGTGGTGAGAGGCTTCACCAGAGACAGAGTGGGGAGCAGAACAGGCAGATGATCAAAGTACACTGCTGAGGGGAGCAGCGGGTGGGTCAGGAATGGTCTGCCATGCCATGTGGTCACCTCCGGGGCAGGCAGGAATCAAACTCATGCGGAAGCGGCTTTAGATTCTCAGTGCTGTGCTTTAACCCGCTGTGCCACCAGGGAGGGCTGCTTTTTTCATTCTTTTAATGGTATCTTTGGATGAACAGAACTTCTACATCTTCTACATCTTAATTTAATCTAGTTGATCAAATTTTTTACTTTATTGCAAAGAATTTATGAGTTCAATTTAAGAAACCTACCTATGATCATGATCATGAGTTATTTTAGGAAACCCTTATTATTTATCTTTCATATTTAGGTTAATAATCCATCTGGATTTATTTTTGCATGTAAAATGAAATAGAAGTCAAAATTAATTTGTTTTTCATGTGCATATTCCACTGACTCTGTACACTATATTAAAGATATCATTCTTTCCCCACTATATTCTAGCATCACCTTTGTTATAAATCAAGTAACCATAAAATTTGGAAGTTTATTACTGGAATAATTTGTTCTATTGGTCCTGCTTATCCTTGTGCCAATACCACACTGTCTTAATTATTCTAGCTTTCTAATGAGCCTTTGTTTGAAGTTGTAAGTTCTCCAATATCTTCTTTAAATACTTAATCCTTGTTTTCTTATATATTTTAGAATTAGATTTGTAGTTTCCTTATTTATTTTAATGGTTTATCTTGGGCTATTTTTGGTACATAATGATGTCAACCAAAAGTAATAGTAACTGTATTACTTGTTTTATAACTCATACTTTTAATTTATTTTATGCTTTGTTGCTGCCTAGAATTGTTGACAGTTAGTGTCTTGTTCCCAATCTCAGGAAGAAAGCATCATCATTTCAGTATTTGATATGGTGTTTGCTATAGGTTTTATGTAGCTACCTTTTATTAGATAAGGGCATTTTCTTTTATTCCTAGTTTCTTTGTTGTTATCATGAATGAATGTTGACTTTAGAAAATGCTTTTTACTTTATCAGTTGATGTAATAATATGATTCCCCCCCCTTTTTTGTTATGTGGTAGATTGCGTTGATTG